CTGTTTGATGTTTCCACAAGAGCTCTGCAAAGAACTGAGCTTTTCTTAAGAAGCACCTTCGTTTCTGAGCTTTATGGAGACGTGTGATGTAAAGAAACATAACACCTGGAAAGCCAGTTTAAGTGATCAACATCTCCAGAAGTATAACTCTGGAGTCACAAATGAAATAGTCTCTAGAAGATTGAATAGCTCCAGCAGAGACCAAATCTGTAATTATTGGAAAATTATGTGAAAATGGAAAAAAGTGGGCGCTACTGAGGTCACAGAAAGTTCCTCTAAGTGTGTATATACATAGAAGTGTCCATTTTATACTATAAACACAGTTTTTTGCCTCTCGGGGTCTCTATGTTGTAATTTTATGTGCAAAGTTACAAGTTTCTTCTGTGAACGCATCAGTTTTGTCTGTTCTCAATGGATTTCCTGCCTCTGTGAGTTTCAGTGTCTGGAGTCTGATGTTGAGCAGTTTGGTTGTTTTCTTGTCAGTTTCCTGCCGTTATAATTTGTCGTTGTGTTTGTAATCTGACTGATGATGGTGCAAACTTCACAGTAGAGTTCTCTTCAGGTCTGGGATGCAGTGATGGATGTCCAGGGTGAACAGGAAGGGGCGGAGCTCACAGCCATGGGGAACTCCAGTGTTGAGACTCCGTAACGCTGTGACTGTTATTCGCATGTTTAGACGCTCCAAACTACACAGAGCTTAAATATACGACTGTTGACATGCAGTATGTGAAAGCTACTGAAGTGTAAAACATGGTCACATGACCATGACTGCAATGCATTGTGGGATGCAGTACATCATGCAGATAGGTCAGTGTAGTCATGGTGAAAGTAAAATCAGTGATGAGCACTTAGTTGATCATTTCTTATCGATGTGTTCATTTCATGTACATATTTCTATGTTGCTGTGAAACTCCTTCTGTTGGTGGAGTAACTTTCTGATGGCTCAGCATAATTAAAGAATGAACTAAGAGTCAGAAGGTTCAGGTTTGAGTCGACCCAGAGAGGGTTGCAGATGGTTGCACTCCTAAAGCAGTTCTGGGTTCAGGACAGAAGGACTCAGCGGTTCCATCTATGAACACTGACCAATGAAAAGGAACTTCTGACTGTTTGCTACCTTTTTACTTCTCCTTCAGGAATCTGGACAAACTCTGTCATTCTCCATATTGAAAACTATATTAAATCTGCCAACGATGTGGCAAATCGTTTTAGGTTTTCTGAGTTTGATGATGTACCACATTTCAGTGACATGATCCAGAAATCTTTGGCAAACGGAACATTTGCCGTATTGGTTAAACACTACTGACCGCTTTGGACCAGTTGTAGATATTTCACATGCAGCCTGAGGCTCTGTTGGGTTCACAATGCAGGAGTTTTGTGCTAATTTACTCTCGTTTCTGTCCTCCAGACAATCAAAAGGAGGAATCTGGTCGATACCGTTGTTTGGTCCAAAATGTTGGGTCGGCCTAATGCGGCGGGTTTACAGGTCCAGTCTGAAACCTCCTGAACTGCTGGCAGACTAATCAGGGCCACAACAAATAACATCAGACATGTTGAATATTTAGGAGTTAATCTGAATCATTTTTACTTTGTTATTCTGTAAGTCTGTTATTCTTTGGCTGTTTTCTGTTGTTGTTCTGTCTGTGATTGATTCTTTGCTGTATCACTATTGTTTTGTCACTCAGCATCTCGACGCCCCTTTGACCTTGTTTGACCTTGTTACCGTTTGATTCTGTTGCTCTACAGCTCTGTAACTCTGCAACTTTGTGATTTTGTAAACACATTTTTAGTAATACAGTAAATCAATGACAATACAGAGAAGAGTCTTCATAATTCATCACCTCAAGAACTCCACAAGGAGAAGAATAAGCCTTTATTTTTCACAAATATATTACAGCACAGTGAAATTCCATCCATCCATCCATCCATCCATCCATCCATCCATCCATCCATTATCTATACACCGCTTCATCTTCAAATCTACACATCTTCTTGATGGCAGATCACTTCTACTGTGAGCACACAGGATGCAAGCTTCTGTCAAGCAGATCATGGCAGGACGTGAGGCATATTCTCAGCGCCTCAGGCTCCATGTGTTGGCTCTTGAGCTAATTGGTGAAATTCCAATGACACAAATAAACACAAGCAAATAACAACATTAGACCAATTACAGAGAGGATTGACAGACTGTAATGTTTCATTGCTGGGAGAGAAGGAAATAAAGCTGTTGGTGCAGGCTGGTGGAAGATAAGCTCAGTGGGAGCTGCTCTTTAGTCACAAAGCTGCTGGCTGCCGTCCTTAAAGGAACACTTTCCCGCTACACTGTCCTCTCTCTGAACCTTTGCACTAAGTTGATGTTGAAATGATTTTACTTAATGAAGTGCTGTGATTTATTCTGAAGAGGTGGAACGAAGCCAGCTCTGCAACTGTAAGTCAGCAATAACACACAGAGAGGAGAGCTGTTGTTAGAAATGATGGTCATGGAGGCAAATTGGGAAAAGACCTGGTGTACTGGTGGAGGCAAAATGGAAAAAATGGATTCAAACAAATAAATAAAACAATGAAAATGTGTCTTCAGACCGGCAGCAGATGAAAACTTGTGCTGAGCGATTGAACCTTCCTCGTACATGAGGACAGAGATGCTCTTCCTGTGGTTTAGGCAGTACAGTAAGTCCTCATTATAATCCACCTGTTGAAGTGTCTTTGGGCAAACAGTTGGAAAGCAGACCTCCTCTTTACTCCGATTTTAGGATTTAGAAAATCTCATCTGTGTTGGAAGAATTGAAGGGTTTGAACTCCAAGTTGCTCAGTAGAAAAGTTCAACATAAGTTCAGTCCATTTACAATCTACCATCATGTCTGTTTCCTTTTTTCACTGTTTAAGCTTTGACTGGAGCTCTTACGTTGCTGTTATCTTCCTACGTCCCTTTCCTATGGTGGTGTGTTGGAATAGACATTAATTGGTTTGTTGTTTTCCTCTAAAAATGGGCCGATCCCATTTGGATGATTGTTCAATTTCAAATGAATGTGCTCGAGTACGGAGTCAGTGTTGGGAAGCTGCTGCTAAACATCAATTTCAAAATGGTTGCAGATGAGAAGCTTTTCAGTTGTGGTTTTGAAACTGGGACAGAAGCTCGAATCTGAATGTCAAAGAGACTCACATTGCTCCAATTCCACGGCTGCTTTTGTCTCAGAGGCTGGAACAGGACTGTTGTGTTGCTACTTTTAGTTCAAATACAGAGTTGTTTTTTTTTTTTAAAATAATAGTAATAATCATTATTATCATTATTTATTTATTATTTAATTTTTTTTACAAACTTCACACAGCACTGTGTCTGTTTGACGTCTGACTTTGCAAAAACCTTTTTCACCGTCTGGGATCAGCCTGATCTGTTATAAAAACACAAACAGGTTGCTGACCGCGGCCAACTGGTACCACTATGGATAAAACACCTTTATAGTTCTGAAGCTGTTGCTGCTCTGAACCACAGCGTTTATCATTTACAGAGCCAGGAATCAAAAAGAACACCAGATTTATTTTCTGTGTGCACACAGTATAGACAGTTAGCAGAGAATTAGAGAAATATTCACTAAATTTGACAAAAATTGTACTAGATAGATAGATAGATAGATAGATAGATAGATAGATAGATAGATAGATAGATGGATAGATAGATAGATAGATAGATGGAGAGATGGATGGATGGATGGATGGATGGATGGATTAGTGTGCAATGCAGTAAATGTGTTACTGGATGGGTGCACATTGAGTTCACTATCTCAAAAGAGCATTACAATCTGGGTTCGTGCAAAGTTATGATGGTGTCTTCTAAAAGTCTCCAACACAGTGGAGTTTGGAAACTAATTAGCAGCTCCAAGTGACCCCAGAATGAAGCTATTCAGCCTAAAACCAGAGTTCTTCCAAATACAGTCAAGAGACATGGATCTGGAAAGTTGAAAGAAAGAAACTATGACATGTCACATCAGAGTTGACTTATTTGTTATTTTAATTGAATGTTGAAGCTTCCATATGTTTCAAACAGTTACTGGCAGATCCAAATGACTGAATGGCTGCAGCAGAAGCCACATTTTTCATTACTGGTCCTTGAAAATAGAAAAATGTGCAACATCTCCAAACAAGGGTGCTGTTGGGGCCCCAGAAATTGTGTGTAAATACAGATGTGTCCATATATTCATCTAGAAATACAGTCTTCCGTCGACATTTCACCAATTTTAGAGGCTCTAACGTCAGAAGAATCTGATGTCTGTACAAATATTGAACGCAGGTTCCAGTTTGTTGCTGGATTGACAGAATGGGGATTCAAGCTCATTCTTTGGGTCACAAAAACTGGTTGGAGGTCTTTATATTGTCATTATATGTGCAAAGCTTCTTCCATGAACGTATTATTAGTAGGTAATACAGATGGAACAGTTTTGTCTGTCTTCAGCAAATTTCATGACTCTGTAGAGATATTAAACCCTTAAAATGGCTCCAATGTAATACTTTTGTTTGAAATTTGAAAACTAAAAGTTCACAAAACTTAGCTGAATAATAATAATTATGATTATTATTTTTTACAGAATTGAGTTTTGGACCTAAAATCACAAACATGTTCAGAGCATCGCTATCTGAAGTGACACACACCAGCTGATTTATCATCCAGCATTACTTTGCACTCGTCTTTTGTTTTCTTCACATGGGAGCTGTTGTGTGATTTATTGAAGTATCCTGCAGCAGTAAAAAGCTTCTTTATGTCGCCTGTGTAACACATCAAGGAACAATATGTACATACACAGTGCACACAAGAGAGTCTTGGATGTTTTAAGCTCGTTTAATTTTGTCACTTTCCAGTTCGAGCACACAAATTAAAAATGAATTAACAAGCTATTTTTCATGCTGTCATCTTGAAGTTATGTGTGTATTAGATATGACTACATGCAACAACAGACAAACTTGTTGTCGCCTGATTTCAGCCTTCAACGCTCTTGTTTCTTCTGTTGCAGAAACCTGTTAGACATGGACACCTTCTCCAAGTCAGATCCAGGTAACTGCTTCCTTTCATCCTTTTAATCAAATTCAATGTTCTTGTTTGTAATTTGTGCCCTGACGTGATTTCCCATTCCCCCGATGCCTTTTACAGCAGCACAGCACATTAGTCAAAGTGAATGTGTTCAATTTCATGCAGCATTTATTAAATCACTACCTCATGCACCTTATCAGCCAGCAGCAAGCATCAGTGAGCAGCAACACGCCGAGCGTCTCTCACAGCGTTTAGAGACACAATGCAGCAGCCCAGTGAATGAAAAGCTGCGTCTCAGGGGTCAACTGGCAAGGACTTTCAATTAAGTTGGTTTCCAGTTAGGGCCACTAATCACTGGAGCCTGACTGACACTTAATGATTACTGTCCACACACACACACACACACACACACACACACACACACAGTATGAAGCACAGAAAGCCTTGATAGCAGCAGCAAGTGGTGGACAATGGAAAAGTGCAACTTTGAGCGATTTGAAAGAAGAGAAAGAGAAGCAATAAAAAAAAATAAATTACAGAGAGCAAGTGATTCAGAGAAAGAAAGCACAAATGACAGAGGATGACTGAAAGTAAATAACATGGCTGTCAGGAAAGGTTTCAGCTTGATTGGCAAGTTTCAGACTGAGACAGACATCTTCTACAGTAGTTCTCTCTGAAGACTTAATTCACATTTTATCCTTCACATGCCATCACCATCTTTTGATTTTGCAGTTGCGTAACAAGCAGACCTCTGGTTGTATGTTCTTTTTTTAAATTTATTTTTTTTAAAAATCATTAGCTGTATCTGTAGACATGTGGCGTACAACAAATGTAAAATGATTCAGACGTGTAGCAGCTGGGAGTGTTTGATCTGATTAAAGCAGGTTCTGTAGAGTTCACTGAAAAACACAAGTCCAACCGAAATGCAGCAGAAGTGAATCCGCATGTAGTTTTCAGTTCAGTCTAATCTGATAAACAAACTTTTAAAAGAACCCGTGAACGCCACAAACTGTCTCAGTTTTGGCCTATTTGCTATCTCATACATTATATGGTGTAAAGGAACTACCTGAACATGTAAGAAACCAGATTGTACGACTTCATGAAGATGGAAAA